AAATGCACACAAGTGATAGTATTTAACTAATTTCAATAAAATGATAAAAATTACTATATTTTTTAAGAATAAGAATATTATCAATAAATTGCATTAAAATTAAAAATGTACAAAAATACTATATTTTACTATTAACGATTAGGAAACCTGTCGAAGTTATTTTTAAATACGGAGGGACAAAATTGAGTATCAACAGCTAGTGCCTCAACCAAGTTTAGGCAAGATACTTACCTCGAATGAGCCAATTCAATATTCCAAAAACACCTTTCCATGCGAATCGACTTCTGAACAGCTCAAATCTTGCCAAAAAATAACTCAATAACCTCAAATAAAGCTATAGGAAACAACACCAAATAATAAAGCTTCAATCTTTGTACAAACATACAAAGTCAACCGAAAATTCAACTCGATCAAACATCCCGAAACCTAACAAAAGTCACAAATCATAATTACCCATTCCTACACGAGTCCAAATATATAAGTTTCACCCACATCCGACTTCAAATCGAAGTTCAAATCCCAAATAATTACTCTCTAATATCTAGTAAAAAAAATCCCAATTTTTTCTCCTTCAAATCCATATTCCAAGAGCACAAAACAATGGGAAATAAAGGTCTAACATCAAAATAATGTAAACCCTCGATTAAAGTGTGGTCAAAATCTCTCTAAAAATTGCCTTTAGCTGAGCTCCAAATCTCCAAATAATGAAAAATGAGCTAAACCCTCGAATTATAACACTGCCCAGCGATTTCTGATCATATGGACAAGACTATCGCTTTTGCAGCACTACTTCTACGGACAAATTCTCTCATCTGCGAGCTCACTTAAGTCCCTAACATCAACTTTTGTGAAAACGTCCCCGCATCTGCGGAATCGCACTTGTGTATAGATATCGCCCCGCACATGCAGAAACTAGCTACCAGCCAAACACTACTTCTGCGGCCACCTGTCTACTTTTGCAGACTCGCACTTGCGCATCATACCTCGTAGGTGCGAAACACTAGAACCAGCACTGCCAAACAACCTCAAAATGGTCCAAACCCCCTTTGAAGCACCCTTCGAGCCCCCGGGACGCTGTCCAATCATACCAACAAGTCTTAATACTTCCCCCAAACCTATCCAAAGGCTCGAAACACCAAAATTAACATCAAAACCAAGAGTCATCGATCAAGATCAATTTCTTAAGTTTATAAACTTCCTACCTCAAACCAAGCATCTGATTCAAGACTAACCAATCCGGAATAAACTCAAACATTGAACACAAGTTCCAAATGACAAAACGGACCTATTTTAATTTATGGAACAACACTTCAAATAAGTTATCATCGAAGTCAACTCCTGATCAAACTTGTGAACTTTCCAAACCTTCAAATTTCAAACATTCAACGATTAGAGCTAAATAAACCTAGGAATCTCCAAATCTAAATCTGAACATATGCCTAATTCTAAAATCACCATATGAACCTATTAGAACAATCAAAACATGAATCCAAGGTTGTTTACTTAAACATTTGTCAACTCTTATAACTTAAGCTTCCAAAATAAGACTAAGTGTCTTAATTCACTCCATAAACATCCTGAAACCAATCCCAATCATCTCCGTAAATCACCAAACATCAAATACACATATGAGGAACATCAAATAAGGTAATGGAACTTAAATACACAAAATGACCGACCGGATCGTTATACTCTCCCCCTCTTAAGCAAATATTCGTCCTCGAATGAGCTTAGGATCATACCTATAAAATGCCAAAAAGGTGAGTATATTTGATCCACATATCATGCTTGGTCTCCTAAGTCAACTCATTGACCAGTTGATCTCTCTACTAAACCATCAGTGATGTAATATTCTTTGGCCTTAATTTTCGAATCTGCCTATCCAAAATGGCCACATGCTCCTCATCATAAGTCAAATTCTTGTGCAACTACACTGAGCTTAATCCGACGCATTTGACGGTTTCTCACAGTACTTCCAAAGTATGGAAACATAGAACACCGAATGAACTCCCGAAAGGTTAGGAGGCAAAGAAAGCCTATAAGCCACCTTATCAACTCTCTGCAAAACCTTGAATGGACCAATAAACCTCTGGCTCAACTTGCCCTTTCCCAAACCTCATCACGCCTTTCATTGGCGAAACTTTTAGTAGAACTTTCTCACCCACCATGAATGCCATATCATGAGCCTTCCTATTTGCATAACTCTTTTGCCTGGACTAAGTTGTACAGAGTCTCTCCTAAATCAACTTCACCGTATCCAAGGCATCACGAACCAAGTTTATTCTCAATATCTTAGCCTCCCCCAGTCTCAAACCAACCAACTAAGAACAACACCGCCTCCCATATAAGTCCTTGTATAGAACTATCTCGATACCAGACTGGTAGCTATTGTTGTATGAGAACTCCACTAATATTGGAAACTGATCCCACTAGCCTCTGAAATTTATAACACAGGCTCTTAACATATCCTCCATGATCTGAACTGCCCGTCCGTTTAAGGATGAAATTCAGTACTCAACTCAATCTACATGCCTAACTCACGCGGAACAACCCTATAGAAATGTGAAGTAAGCTGAGTGCCACGATCCAAGATGATAGCAATAGGTACACCACATAGGCGAACAATATCTCTGGTGTAGATTTGAGCTAATCTGTTATACCCCATATTTTTGTACGTAAAAGTGCGTCGTAAGTGAACTAATGTAAGACCGAAAATGAGATCATCTTTGGAAGTATATAAAGTAAGTTATCATGTTACCTCGGATTTTACATATATTAAAGATCATGAACAACAAGTACAAAGAGGGTTGGAAGGTTTAGAAGCTAAGGGATTGAAGAAAATAATATTTCGTCGAAAGTCGACAAGTTGGGAATATTATAACATGTACTTTTGGGGTGAGACTAGGGTTCTTAACATGATAAGTAGGTTATTTTATGAGTTATATTAGTCATATGATAGTCATGTGTTATGTTTTGAATTCAAGTGAGTTGTGGAACAAAAGTTGACGAAAGTCATCAAAAGTTATGTTCCCAAGTTTTACTGAAAATGTAGATCAAATGTAACTATGGTATTTACCAATATACTTAGAATTATGGGATGTTACACCTATAAATTGAAGCTCTATGAGTCTATTTTCTAACTCATTAAATCGTTTGTCAATATGATATCGGACTAGAGAGATATATGCATATTTGCGAGACTGCGCAGGCTGCTAGGTGACAAGTAGGTGTGTCATCTAGTTGGTTAAATGAGAGCCCAAAACAAGGTTATTTCGGGTCGTTCAAAGAGCCCATTTAAGGGCTTATCTCCTGAAATATAACCCTCATTATATATCACAAATAACCTGACCTACACCCCTACAAAATTCCTCCCAAAAAATTACCCACAAACCCTAATTGATTTTCTCTCCCTTTCAAGTTCTAATTAGGGGTAAAACCTAGAGTTTGAAGAACCAAGATAGGGGCTGAGTTATCCAACAAATAAGGTAAGTTTACTTCTCTATTTCATCCATTTTTTATGTTGTAAATTCATGATAAATCGTTCTATACTTGTAAGAACTCATTGGACGGTGATCGGAAGCTGTGAGTTCGAGTTATTCACTTGTAGTGGACTATTTTGTAAACTGTTTTGTGTTGCTGTTGAGCTGTGTGTTTTACTACTATTTTGTGGAGTTTTGGAGGAGGAAAGATGTGGAGAAATACCATATAAATTTATGGTGGTGGGATGGTCATTCGTTGTAACATTTCCGGGTCGTTTGACACTACTACGGTGGTTGTTTTGTGTATGAAAAAATTGGGGTGTGTTGGGCTGTTTTGTATTATTTGATGGTGAAATATAAGGCTGGAAAATAATGTATATATGTTGTTATTGGTGTGTTCTTATGTTGTTGCGGTTATCTTGAATTTGGAGGAAGTAAGGATTATAGGGGAGATGCTGCCCGTTTTTATACAAAATAAGTTTGTCGTTCGTTGTGCGATAGTTCTACCTTTCATAACGTAATGATAGTATTATTATCGTTGTTGTAGATTAAGGTGTGAAGATGCAAGTTCAAATTGGTGATTGGAAAGATTGTGATAAGGTATGTTAAGGCCAATCCCTTCTTTCATTTTGTCATGATCTCGTAACTACATGTGTTTGATCACGAGGCGTAAAAAAAGTTCATATCCCAAATTTATATACATTATCTTAGTCTCATAAGTTACAATATTCTCCCTATCGAGAATTTATATTCAATTGAGTATAGTCTTCTTCCAGTCAAGAGAGCAGAAGGTCTCTCTATATATACAATATTATGAGCACGTGATTTTTGCCCTATATGAATTACTCCCATAAATTCAAAACAAAATAATTTCTTTTCATTATTTGCAGTTTTGTGGATTTTGTGGCATTTTCTGTTAATTATTTGCATTTGTCTGTGCATTTCATTTGTTCAATTAATGAAAAATACAAAAATATGCTGCATTTGCATTTAGGATTTAATTTTTGCATTTTTGAATTAATTAGTAATTTAGTGTTTTATAAAAATGGAAAAAATCACAAAATAGTTCATTTTTGCACTTTATTTTTTAATTTTTTGAATTTTGTTAGTTTTCTTTAATTTGGCATTTGATTAGTGGTGGTAATTATTATTTAGAACTAATTAATTAAATTTGATCAGATAATTTGATTAGGAATTAATTTAGGTTTTATTTTTAATTTTAATTAAAGGGAAAAATTGAAAAGAAAAAGAGAAAACAAAGGTGTGGATCAGATTTTGGGCTGAGTAGTATTTCAATTATTAAGCCCAATTGGATTTTCCTTTAAAACTTGTCCAAAATACCCTTTACCCAGCCCAAACCCGCGTCCAACCTGGTCCAATTTCCCCCTCCTCAAACGACACCGTCTAGGCTCGAATCAATCAGAACCGTCGAGGTTAATCTAGTCCAACGGTGGGGAAGCGGGGTGGGTTTATTATTTATATGTCCGAACGCCATTACCCCCATCTCGTCTCTTTCAGAGACTGATCCCCCAACAAACTCTAACTGATCCGCCTCAAAATTCCACCACCTTCCTCTGGCGGCGCCACCGTGAACCGCTACCAAACTTACACCAAATACCTTCCTCCATCTCCATATCCCAAATCCGCACCCCTCTTCCCCCAAATCGAATCCCAACTATTCAAATCTCGAATCGAAGTTTCAAACCCTAGCCGCCGCCCTAGAATTCCCAACCCCCTGCATGGCGGCGCCGGCTCCGATCCTCACCAAAATTACACCCCGGGACCTTCACGAACCCCTCTTCCCAAATCCCATATCAGTTTCCCTCGAACACCCTTGAATCCTCTCGGATCTGGATTTGAAGACGAACCCTAGAAATTCCAAAATCCTAAATCGAGTGTTCGTTGAATTTTTCCGGTCTAAATTGATTTTATTCGTGTGTTCTTGTTAAGAACACACGATTAATTTCAAAATCGGCCAGAAATCAGATGATTTGAAGACCCAGGCTCCCTCTTTCATTTCCCGAACCTTTTCGTGGGTACTTTCTTTTCTTTCTTCGGTTTAATCTTTTCTTCATTTGTTTTTCTGTTTTCTGCTTCTTCCCGTGCTTTTGAAAATCTTAGTTTTCTAATTTCAGAGGGTTAATTACATGCGCGTTAGTTTTTTTTTGTTAAGAAGTTTTCTTTTCTTTAAGTAGTTTAAGAATTTGTTAATAATTTAGTTCACATTTCATTAAGTGCTTAGTTGCATCAATTGGAATAAGTATAAATTTTACCCGAATTGTTTCTATTTCTGTGGATTTCATTCAGAGTTGGGGTTTGTTAGTAAATACTAATTGGGTTGGTTTCATGTTGGGTTTGAAAGCCCAAAGAAAGAGGTCAGTCCAGGTTGGGGTTAAATGTTGGGTCAACTTGACCCATGAGCTGAAAGGTAGCTAGTTAACCAAGGTAATAATAGGGTCACTAAGGGGTAAATTGGGAAACCTGGGTAGGGAATCTTTTTCTAACTAACTAGGAATCTTCTAGGAAGTTGGGGAGGGGGACTATTTTGAAGTTCTGAGATTTAAAGAGGGATACCTAAGCTAAAATGAAAATCTCAGAAGGGTTTAAGTGCAAAAATTGATCCCTTAAGGCTGCCCTACTTGCCTTGCCTATAAAGTCAGTCTTCTTGCCTTTCAAGGGAGAGATTGTTTTTTGAGAGATGGAAATCTAAAAATACAGAAACTGCAAAAAATTTACTACCTTCATAGACTTCAAGAACTTAAAGTTCTGAGAGAAAATACAACGGGCTGAAAACACTAAAAAAGAAATTACTGTTCCATTGCATTTTCTTCTATAATTTCGAAGATTTTTAACTTCTGAAGAACTTTTGATTAATCTGGTGCTGAAATGAATTGAGTTTTGGGTGTTTGAAGTTTGGTTTGAGGTTGCTTTGGGTTATTGTTCGATTAAGACTGTCTTGTGCTGCTTCGTATCCATTTTTCTAGTTTGCATTGGTGTTGCTGGTGCTGAATTCTGCTAAGTACTGCTGCTGACTCCTCCCTTTGTTCTTTGCTTTCAATATCCAGGTACTTATTCTAAGACTTGCAGAATGTGAATCCAAATTTGATGAATGAAATGGTTAGGGAACTTTGAAGCCGTGCATTAAATTTGTTCACTTTTATAGCTTAGCTGTATTTCTATTTTGTTCATAAAATGTCACTCATGTCTTTTGGAAATCATCAGAATTTGTGGAGTAGTCTGATCTCCCCTTTATCATGTTCACTCTTAATTGTTTAGCTGTAAACATGCTCTGTAGTACTGGGTGGATCATTGACTCTGCCTCTTGAATAAGTTCGAATTCGTGTTAATAAGGCTTTAAGTTTGTAATTGCTAATTTCAGTTAGTTTGTTAAGGGCTTTGGTTAGTTTTTGGCTGAGAGTTACTGGGATTCACTAATGTAGATGTACATTTGAGTTCACTGGGAAATGACAAATGGTTAGTTGGGTTTTACTTATGTGAGATTGGTTTGATTTGTCTTAAATCTTCATGTCTTTTTTTAAAGTTAATTTGGAGATCTGGAAATAAGTTGCCTACTGCTAGTTATTTAAATCAGACTTTCGACTGCTTGCAAATCATTGTTGAACTATATATAATCATCTATTGAGTAGTCGGAGGCTGATTTTAAAAGTTGATTGCATATACATGGGTGTTCCGTTGTTAGCCATTTGGGATCACGTTGTTACCCAGTGATTTTTTTAGACACTGCTGGGGTGCCACAGGGATTCGAGGTCAACACTCATTAACCTCAGATTCCTGAAAGATTTGGGCTCACCTTGGGCCCAAGTCTGAAGACACTTGCAAAAACAGAATTATCTACTTTGTATTGTTTGGGCCTGCATTTTTACTTTCCCATCTCAGTGTTATCGATGGCCCAAGCCATTTTCTTTCGAATATTCGACCGTGTTCTCTTCCAGGCAGATTTCCTTCTAATTCATTTGAGCATTAGTATTAAAAGTAGAATTCAAGTTCCTTTAATGTTTAATTAATTAGATCGCGTTAATTAGTTGAGGTGTGCCATATTAAATGTTAACAATAGTTATGGCCCTCAAAACCGAGTCTAGAAATACCTTTAATAGAATAATTTGGGGCATGCCCTGCCAAATAAAATTCCAAAATGCATGGCCCTCGCTTAATTAATACTTGAATCCTTAGAAATTGAGGCGCACCATTTAGTTGAATTTTCCATGGCCCTCGCAAAATTGAAAATGCGTAGTTGCTTTAGGTGTGCCATTTAAAAATTACCTTCCTAAACTCGGGTGTGCATTTCATGTGACCCAAATCCAAATCTTAATAACATTGAATAAAATATGTCGCAGATCGCGGGTGCATTTCATGTGGCGTGATCCAAAGACATGTTTTAAACAACGTTAAATCTTCCTTAAAATTGAATAAAAGCGGTTAAAAAGTTAAAATTGCACATAGGTTAACATGTACTAAAATCAAGTAATTAAGCCGAATATAGCAGTTGAGCGAACGTGCTAGAACCACGGAACTCAGGAATTCCTAACACCTTCTCCCGGGTTAACATAATTTCATACCCGAATTTCTGATTCGCGGACTGTAATACATAGTCAATCTTTTCCTCTATTCAGGATTTGAATCGGTGACTTAGGACGCCATAAATTTTCCAAGTGGCAACTCTGAATCTTTCAATAAATAAATTCAGTTTCGATTGTCCTTTAATTGGAAAAACTCTCACTATACACCCTTCCGGGGGTGTAGGTAAAAAAGGAGGTGTGACAGCTCTGGCGACTCTGCTGGGGATCGAACCCAGAATCTCTGGTTCAGGGTTCAGAATTCGAGCTTAGATAAATTTTTATATTTGGCTTTATCTGATTTTGTTACATGTTTGGGCCTAATGTGCTAATTGACTGCTTTTACCACTTTGATATTCCGTGAACTGTATATAAACTGTTGCGAAATCCCTCTTCTCTCTGAGTCTTCTAAATCATGAAGAAGTGTGCACTTCGTGTGACTTCTTTTCTGTTAGAGTTATATCCCAAAATTAGAACGAGGTTCGGACAAGTTGCAAAGCCGGTGAAGCTTCTGTATTCCTGGTACGCTGTCCCCCCTCGGCTCGAGCTGTCCGCTAGGGTAAGCCAGGTCTAGAATAATAAACCCAGATTTTGAACCTAGTACAACAAGACCTCATGCCGGATCCCTAGTAGGAACGTTTGTTTGCATTATGTGCATTTTGACTTTGGAGACTCAACACAGGGGTTGGGTCTGTCTAGGACAGGTGCACCCAAAATAAAAAAAGACCATCCTGATGCATCTTACTTGCTACTTGTGCATTTCTTTACTTCGGATTTGCATGCTGACCGCCTTTTGAATAAAAAGGGAGAGAATTTGGGAAAAGAAAACAGTAGTGTGAGGTAATTACCTGCGGTGAAAACCAGTGGCCCTTAAAGTATACTGAAACTCTGCTGAAATTCTGAAAAAGAGGGGAACTTTGTGAATTTTAAAGAAAAATAGGACAAAAAATCTGTGTTTTGGGAAAAGAGAAAAAAGAAGAAGTTGGGTTTATTTTCTTAAATTTTTTTTTCCCGAACTACGCCAGTTTAATTCTCACAGGGTGTGAGATACGTAGGCAACCCCCATCGGGTCTAACTTCCTTTTTGCAAAAATAACACACAAAAAAAAACAAAAATTTTACGTTAATTTGAAAATAATTAGGGTGATGTCATTCTTGTCAGAAATAGCCAAATGTCCCTAAAAGGGCACTGGAAGGCTGTTTTTGCAAGAACAACCACTTTTAATCACTTTTAAAGGTTTTGGCTGGCTAGCCGACACAACCTTAAAATCTTCGTTTTGAAGTGCTGAAAGGCCGTATTGGCAAAGACGGATATTTGTGTGAAAATTTTGGAAAAAATATGGTCATTTTTCTTGAGTCGTAGTTTCCTTTTAATTAAAATCACCTTAATAAATGTGCAGGATGAGCACAATTCAAAATGAACCTTTCTCGATCCGTGAAGAGATCCCTTTGGAGTTACATATGTGGTGGCATGATTTGGGAGAAGATAGCAGAAAGGCTGTGACAAAAGCATTGGGCGGTCTTATCGGGTTCTTGAAGTTTAAGCCAAGAAAAGACGTGATTGAGGCCTTGATACCATTTTGGAACCCAGCACATAATGTATTTCACTTTGCCAATTTCGAGTTAACTCCTACACTAGATGAGATAGAAGGTTATGCCGGTTTTGAAGGGAATCTTAGAAGTCAATACCCGGTGGCACCGAGAACAGTAACCCCTCATAAATTTTTGGACTTGTTAAGCATCAGTCGTGACATCTGAGACGGAAATTTGGCCAAAGGATTCTGTACCTTCTACTTTCTGTATCGACGTTACGAGAATCCCCGTGGCTTTGAAACAACAGACACCGGTCTTACTCACACGGGAAACCAAAACAAGCGGGATTACCAATTTGTTAAAGCCCTAACCACTAACAAGGTTAACTGCTTAGGTGCATTCATTCCCCAAATGTGCGATTACCAATTTGTTAAAGCCCTAACCACTAACAAGGTTGTTGTTGATGTATTGAGTCCAGGCAGGTGGTTAGTTGATTGGCATTCTGGAAACACACTCATACAACACCCGATCAAAAGACAGGCTGAATATGGCCAACCAAGAACCGGAGACAAGTATTGTCGACCCGTCAAAAGAGGTGGAGGAACTGAATGTTAATGCAATGAAGGAAGAGATGTATAAGTTAAAGCAGCAGATGGCTGAAATGTACCAAGCTTGGGCAAAAGGGCATCCACCACCGGTTTATCCCGCCAACCCTGCTTATATCCCACCATCAGCCCAACCTCAGGAGCCTCCCACTGTGAACTCATCTCCAGCCTTTCCCCTCTACCAACAATGCTATGGCACCACTTCCCATACTTCTCAAGCTCCACCACCCAAACAAGTCCCATACCCTCCCCCACCAATTACACCCGTTTTTGTGGCACCTCCACCTGCTACATTACACCGATCTTCCAGTGAACCTCTGTTCCAAACTCACGACAACCAGTACTACCCCCTGAACCCACCTTCAAAGTTCTAGAACCATATTCTTACACCCCTCATCTTGATCTCACAGCAGAGACCGAGAAGCCACCCAAAAATCCCGAGCATGAAGAGATGATCAGAAAAGTTAAAAGCTTAGAACAATCGTTCCGAGATATGAGGGGGTTGGGAGGTCAAGTAAGTGTGGCCTATAAGGATTTATGTCTATTCCCAGATGTTCAGTTACCAGCAGGGTTCAAAATGCCCAAGTTTGATCTGTACGACGGGCATGGTGACCCAGTAGCACACTTAAGAGGATTTTGTAGCAAGATGAGAGGAGCAGGTGGAAGAGATGAATTGCTGATGGCATATTTCAGCCAAAGTTTGAGTGGATCGGCATTAGAATGGTATACCAGACAAGATCACAGCAGGTGGTACACATGGGACGATTTGGCCCAAGCCTTTGCCTGCCATTTTCAGTACAACCTCGAAATTATCCCAGACCGTCTGTCATTGACAAAGATTGAGAAGAAGCCCGGTGAGAGCTTCAGGGAATATGGATTCCGTTGGAGAGAGCAAGCAGCGAGGGTTGACCCTCCGATGAAAGAAAGTGAGATGGTTGATTATTTCTTGCAGGCTTTGGAACCCACTTATTTTGGTCACTTGGTGTCAGCAGTGGGCAAGTCCTTTAATGAAGTTGTAAAAATGGGAGGCATGGTTGAGGAGGGACTCAAGTCCAACAAGATCATGAGTTATTCAGCAATTAAAGCGACCACCCAGGCCATTCAAAACGGTATTGGAGGTGTACTCGGGAAGAAAAAGAAAGAGGACGTTGCGACAATTGAGTCGGGAGCTTGGGTTGGATCCAGGAACATTCCACGTTACTACAACCCACCTCGACCCTACCACCAAACTTACCCCCACACTCCATATAGTCCACCACAACACTACTACCCACCGCCCGATCCCCCTTTTTCCATCCATCACGCCCAAACCTATACCCAACCTCCCGCTCATGCACAATGGCGTGCGCTAGCTCCACAAAGTCCATACTTAGCTCTACAAAATGCCCATCCACCCCCAAGAGCCTACAGAAATCCCCCTGGAACAGGTTTTCGTCCAAATCAAGCTTTTAAGAATGAGAGGTTGCAGAAGTAGAAGACTTTTACTCCATTGGGAGAATCATATTCTAGTCTATTCCACCGACTGAGACAGTTGGGTATGTTGAATCCGATCAAGGCTAAACTGCCGAATCCCCCTCCCAGAAATCTTGACCGCTTAGTGAGTTGCGAGTATTGTTCAGGGACCCCGGGTCATGACACAGAGAAATGCTGGAAGTTGAAAATAGCTATTCAAGAGATCATTGATACTAATCGGATTGAGGTCCAAGCCCCGGAGGCACCCAATATCAACTAGAACCCGTTGCTGGCCCATCATGAGACTAATATGATTGAGATAGTGC